GTATTTTCACTGGTGTTTGATAAACAGACACTCCTTCACGAAACAATGGAGCTATATCCTAATAAACCCATTATAAATTGACAGTATTATGAATTTAAATGCATTTACTATACCTAACCTACGAACATCATCACTTAGCAATGCACTGTACTATAGAGTACTGGTTGTTTATTCTTGTGATAGCACAGCTGACTGGGAGTTGCACATCACTGCTGCTGCCCAGCGCGGAGAGAATCTTAACAGACATTGTTAGCCAAGGAAAGGATAAAACATTTGAAGCACAGTTGCTACTGAATGCATGTCATCTTTGCACCATCTAAAATTGAAAAAAATCTTAAGTTCAAACATCATAAGTTGGACACCATCTATGTAAGCTTGCAAAGTGAATTTTTTTATAACTTCAAAAATCTAATTGTATGGTAAGGATGATGCTACTCGGTGCCTCAGAAGGACAAATTATGATTTGAAAAATGAAAGACAGGGACTGAGGACGTGGCTCAGTGATATAGTGCTTGCCTGAAAAGCATGAAGCCCTGGGTTAAATTCCCAGCACCAAAAAAAGAAAGAAAATAAAAATGAAAGACAGTTCTTTTATTCATCAGTTTGACAGTTTTCATTTCTGGTCTTACATGTAATTTCTTGTACTTGCAAATTTGTATTTTATATAGTTGTTACTCATGGATTTTTAAATTTAACATTCTTGGAGACATTTCTATGTATATGGACTTCTTAATATGTAAGTCATATAAAATAATATAGCCATATTCTAGGAAAATTAGATAGTATGGAAATGATTACAGTGTTTCATAGATGAAGAATTTGGCATGTATTATAAATAACTCCATTTCATTTATCTGTTTTTTTTTTCTGATTAGAAAAATAATACGTGTTTGTTGAAGAAGAAGTTTAGGCAGGAAAATAGAAGAACATAACTTAAGTTGGGAACTTTCTGTACACCGTTGGGGAAATCCCAAGATACAGATTTTTTTTAAATTGATAAAATTAGTTCATTTTATTTTCATAGACCTATTACATTCCTTGAGGATGAGAAACACATCTCATTCATTTTTATATCCCAGGCATCATTCCTAGCATATAACAATTGTTTGGTAAATGTGACTTGTAGGCTCTCTGAAATAGTAAAAAAAAAAAAAAAAAAAAAAAAATACTAAACTTGGAGTTAGAAGACTTGGAGGGGTTTTTACCTTTAATTTATTATAGCTCTAGGAACCTGGAAGATTATATGACTATTTCCCCTTTTTGGTGCTGGGAATTGAACCCCATATGAATGTGAATATGTGACACCTTTTAAATTTCAGTTTCATGAGCTCAGGGATATACTACTACTTCTATTTACTTTACAGAATTGGAAAACAAATGTGATAGAATACCTTAAGTGTCTTGTAAAATTAAAAAGTGCTATCCAGTTGTGAAAGTCACCATCATTTTTTTTTATATTTCTGAGAAGTTCTAACTGAAGAACTCTATCGAGAGTATGGCAGATTCCTAGCTGTTCACCAAAAAGTCTACTTTTTCTTCTTTCTGGGAATACAACTAGACTGTTTGTGTTCCTCTCTTGCATTTAGGTGCAGTCATGTGACTGAGTTCTAACTTTTGGAATGAGCAGAAATAATATGCACTGCTTCGAGGCCTCATTCATAAAAACCTGCTATGAGAGTCCTTTCTGAGCTTTCTTCCTCTTTTTGGCTGCAGTAGAGACAACCTTCAAAGTAACGTTAGAAAAACACCTTAATTATAGAAACGCCACTTTGAATCTCATGTCTGCTAACTAACTTTACCCATCCAATTCTTCTACATGAACAAGAAATAAACTTCTGATGTACATGAATCATAATACATTTGGGGTCTTCTTGTTAAAGCAGATGGACTATCCCTATTATAAGAGCATGCCAGTATTTGCTCCACTTTTTCTTTAGAGAAGCAGCATCTTCTCAACAAACAGCCTTACAAAAAAGAAGTAACATCAAAGAAATAATTATAAAGATTTGTAGATATATGTGTTCTGTGACCCAAGATGAAATTGAAGACAGAATTATCATGTGAGAATTTTCTGTTCAGAAAAGTTAAAAATGAGGCTTATAATTAAAGTTTCATTGGACAATTTATATAGCTTTTTAATCTTATTTGTTTATTTTTTTACTTTTTTATTGTTGAGGCCAAGATTCCAAAAGAATATAAAAGAGGAAATATCTGGATAATATCTTCCTTTTTTGGTATTTTAAAACTTTTCCTTTAACATTAAATATGATACGCAAAGTGTATACAATATTTTCTAATGATAGTAATCATGTAATTTGAAAGAAACATGATTCCTTCTCTCCAACTCTATTAAGTTGTTGTAACCCATTTCTTAATAAAAGCTTTTTGTTGAGGARTAGGTGCTGATATCTAGACACACTCCAGAAATTGTAGGGCAAGACATTTTCTTCAAAATATGCCTATCTGTGAAATTCCATGTACCTTCCTAAGGAATACTGAGGAAATTCAAGTACACACCTACCCAACATATGGCAACTTTTACCCAAAGTTAGCCAAAGTAACTGATAATACTGGATTTTTTCATATTCTTCATTGGGGGGAAAGGGTCTCTTTAAATGTCTTTAGGTTTGATGTGGCCCAGTAGTATCTTTAATCGCAAGTACAATTTTAATCAGTCTACTTATCTAGCAATTAAAGTTTAATACATTCAGCTTTCAAGTATTTTGATTACAATAATAAAACACCACTAAACAAAATGAAAATAGCTTTCACAGAACTCACGTACTTTACTTCCTAGAAAAGGAGCTACTAACCTTTTTCTTCTGAGGCAGTAATTTAATTTTACACATTATGTTTAGTAATCTGATTTCCCCTGAGGAGCTTGGTGGTTCTGTGGGTTACAATTAATTCAAATAAGAAAGAAGCTATGCATAGCAAGTTAGAAATAGAGGAAGGAAGAAATAAACTATAAACTTTAGGGGATAATAGCAAAGGACAGCCCAGACATAAGAAGAGAAGAAAAAAATCTTATGAACAGGATACCATGCCTAGTCCTATTCTCTGGCATACTTTTTTTTTAGGTATAGATGGACACAACACAATGGCTTTATTTTTTATGTGGTGCTGAGGATCGAACCCGGGTCCCACCCATGCTAGGCCAGCGCTCTACCGCTGAGCCACAATCCCATCCCCTTGCTTACCTTCTTAATAGTGATGAATTATTAGGGGCCATAAATAGTCGATATTAAAATTTACCTTGAAGCATCATAAGGTTAAGAATAGGGTTTTTTTTATAGGTTTAGAACAGTTTTTTATAGAATGTGAAGTACATTTTAAAGTTTCTTCAAAACTTATTAGAATTAAATTGAGGTACCAATTAACTGAAAATTTTATTTAAATCATATTGCCTTAATTTCAACCAAATATCTACAATTTTTTTGATTCTTCTTAGTTGCATGAAAAAAGTGTGTGATTGTTGATTTCTGCCTGCCCAGTCATTTCACCTTCAAATTAATTTAATTGCAAGTACAATTTTAATCAGTCTACTTATCTAGCAATTAAAGTTTAATACATTCAGCTTTCATGTATTTTGATTACAATAATAAAACACCAAATTCTTAACCTTGGGATTGTTTGAGTTCCTATTTAGTTATGACAGAATGAGGCCGGATTTCTAGAAATCAAATTCCTTTTAGAAAGTTAAAATGTAGTGTTTACTCATATTTGAGATTTTTTCATTTTTATTTTTAAAATGAAATTTAATCCAATTGATATTTTTTCATGTAGATGAATTTCAATTCTTTATATTCAGCATTTTCTATCCCCAGAAAAATATGTCTGTTATTTGGAACCTATCACCTACTCTTCTGGAGATATAGTATTTCAATTCAACTGAAACTGACTTCTAAACTGCTTTTTGTTTGGCAGATTATTACTTTTTTTCCCCCCAGAATGTTTACTGTCCTTTATTTTTTTTTCCTTCATAACAGCAAATTTTGGGTCCTACATTTATTATTTTTTAAACATCTTTATTAAGATATAATTTGCAACCATATAATTTTTTTATTAAATCATTTATTCTAATTTGTTATACACAATGGCAGAATGCAATTCATTTCATATTACACAATAGAGCACGGTTTTTCAGGTCACTGATGGTACACAAAGTATTTTCACACCATTCGAGTCTTCATACATGTCTAACTCATTCCACCATCATTCCTACCCTCTTGCCCTTGCCCTTTCCTTTCCCCTCCCTCCCCTTTGCCCTAAAGTTCCTACATTCCTTCCATGCTCCCTCCACCCCCCTTAGCCATTATGAGTCAGCATCCTCATATCAAAGAAAACATTGGGCCTTTGGGGGGATTGGCTTGCTTCACTTAGCATTATATTCTCCAACTCTGTTCATTTACCTGCAAATGTCATGATTTTATTCTCTTAATGCTCAGTAATGTTCCATTATGTATATATACCAAAGTTTCCCTATCCATTCAGGCAGATTATTATTTTGTAGGTATTTTACAGTGAGATAATTGAAACTTATAAGACTTTATTCAGTGTATAGATGATGTAAAAAATTATAGTTGTATTGAAGTGAAATGTTTTATTTTAAAAATATTTTTATTAGTTGTTGATGAACCTTTAGTTTACTTATTTATTTATATGTGGTGCTGAGAAATGAACCCAGTGCCTCATACATGCTAGGCAAGTGCTCTAACACTGAGCCACAACCCCAGCCCCAAATGTTTTATTAAAGTAACTTTGCAGAGTTGTTCTTCATAGCATGCTAAAGACACTGCCAGACAAAATCTACTGCAGTGCCTTACACGTGGTAAGAGTTTTTAAAATATTTGTTAAATAAATGAATTAATGCATTGAATTTAAACTAGCTATCATGGTCATAGTAACTTACAGGCAAAGTCAGATGTCATTTATTAGATGAATTCTTAACAGAAAATGTTAACTGTTACATATTGATTGTATTTATATCTGGGACACAGGTGGCGATAAAAATAATAGACAAGTCTCAGCTGGATGCAGTGAACCTTGAGAAAATCTACCGAGAAGTACAAATAATGAAAATGTTAGACCACCCTCACATCATCAAACTTTATCAGGTATGGTTTAGCCTTATATTTCTTCATGCTTGCCATTTTCAGATCCCTGTTTTGCATCATGCTTTTTCCTTTTATGTTAGTTTTTTTAATCTATAAAAGAATAATTAACATGTTTTTACTAAACCAAACACATCTATTTTTCTGTATTATCCTTAAATAAAAATCTGGAAATCAGAAGCTAACTGGTGATTTTAAATTGTCTCTCAATTGCTGGTTATTTATTTTGCAACTGTGCATTTATGATACCCTGCCTGAACTTTCTGGGTTTTGTTAGTGGTGCCAGAAATGAGGATATGGCACTTGTGCTTATTTTAAAAACATATTGTTTATGTTTCATGAAATACAAAATTATTTAGTGGCATACTTTGTAATACCTAAAGCCAAATCTTTTTTTWAAAAATTTTTATTTGTTCTTTTTAGTTATACATAACATTAGAATGTATTTTGACATGTTATACATACATGGAGTATAACTTCCCATTCTTGTGATTGTACATGATGTGGAGTTACACTGGTCATGTATTCATATATGAACATAGAAAGTTATGTCCACTTCATTCTACTGTTTTCCTATCCCCCTCTCCTCTCCCTTCCCTTAATTCCCCTTTGTCCAATTCACTGAACTTCTATTTTTCCCTCCTCCACCCTTGATTGTGTGTTACCACCAAATTGTTTTTTTGAGGGGGTTGATTTTACCACATAAAGTAAATAAAACCATTCTTTTTTTAAATAAAAGATTTTTTTTTAAAGAGAGAGTGAGAGAGGAGAGAGAGAGAGAGAGAGAATTTTTAATATTTATTTTTTAGTTCTCGGCGGACACAACATCTTTGTTTGTATGTGGTGCTGAGGATGGAACCCGGGCCGCACTCATGCCAGGCGAGCGCGCTACTGCTTGAGCCACATCCCCAGCCCAAAAGATTTTTTTAAAAAATCAACTTTATTAAGATTAAAGTTTTGTAAACTGTACCTCTTTTAAGTCACAGTTTTAAAAGAAACCTTTTCTCAGGTTTTTAAAGAATATTTCATGTTTAATAATAGTAATATAAAACATTTCTAATATTTCTATTCACTAGTTAAGTAGGCATTTTTAATCAGAACACTTCTAAAACTGAAAAGTTCCAGCATTCTGACTTGTGACTTTCATCTTCAAAGTATGATGTTTATACCCATGGCATTCTGGAGTTGGCTTATACTGGCCTGTGATATTGATTATTACATTTTTAGAAGTTTGCTGATAAACATCACATTAACATATACCTCATAAATTAGTCACAGCCCTTACTTTTATCAGAAATCCAGTTCAGTTTCACACTACTGTGCTCTCAAATGGGTTAGTAAAAGTGTCCTTGGGAATATAAGAAGTTCTTCTAATACTAATATTTTATTTCTTCTTATACTTGGAAGTGTGAGAAGTATAAGAAGAAAATATTAGAACTTCTGTTAGGTTTATTGTGTCCTCCTCTGTGCATTTCATAGTGTACATGGTATATTTATACAATGGGACATGTATATAATTTGTATATCTGTGTATGTGTACATAAATATATGCATATACATGTAGATATAACCTGCATATATATTTGACTAACATTTATTGGTAGACATTTGCAATAAAAAATATTGGAGACCATTGGCTTATGAGATAGCATCCAAGAATGAAAGATTGTAGTGTGCTGTTCAAACCAATTCCTAACATTCTAAAACTACAGAAGCCTTTTAGGTAAAATTTATATCAATGTTTTTCTTTCTTTAAACTTTTTTTTTAATTCCAAAAAAAAATACTTCTGGGAAAATAATCATATTCTAGGAAATCTCTTGTAAACTGAAGAGTATCATTATTATGATTCACATGATAATCCGATCTTTATTTTTTTAAAGAGTATTTAAAAAAAATTTTTTTAATTATAGATGGACACAATACCTTATTTTATTTATTTATCTTTATGTGGTGCTGAGAATCAAACCCAGAGCCTCACACATGTTCGGCAAGCACTCTGCGACTGAGCTACAACCCAAGCCCAATCCTATCTTTATTTATATTAAGTAATTGATTAAAATAGAGTTATTATTTGATTAGCTTAAGCCCAAATTATAGGTAGCTGTTAGTTTTTTGGACTGATGGAGAATAGTTCTAATCTTATATTTTAAAACAAAATTAGTTTTTAGCCTTTCAGTAGATAACAATTAAAATTGGGTTATAGAAAAGCAAATCAATCATCTTGAATCTAAAAATTAGTTTCCTTTCTAAATAGATATATATTCAGTATAGTTTGAAAAGTCAGATTGATGACAACATACTTTGTGAACCTTGAAAAATTAAATAAAAGTATGTATTGTGGCTCAGTGGTAGAGCACTTGTCTCACATGCATGAGGCACTGGATTCATTCCTCAGCACCACATAAAAAAATAAATAAATAATGGTATTGTGTTCATCTACAACTAAAAAAAAAGTATTTAGCAATAGAGCTATGAAGAAGAAGCTATCAAACAGTGTTTTACAATTGTAGTACTTTGTAACAATATTAAGTACAGAAGGAAGAATACTATGTTGTACCAGATTAGCTAGGCTGCAGGCCAGATAAATGAATTTCTTCTATTTTATTTTTCTTTTCTTAAAATCAAGGGTACCACAAAAACTTAGGGCTCAAAAACTCTGTGAGGTGGTGTTGAAGTTGATCTTCAAAACTTCCATTACCTATGTTAGTACTTCTCCAGTTTTCATGTGCATACAAATCACTTCACAATTTTATTAAATTGTCATCCAGTAGGTCCAAGGTGAAGCCCTCGATTCTGCATTTCTAACAGGCACCTGGGTAATGTTGCTACTACTAGTCCTTGGACACATTTAGAAAAAGGATCTAGGCTTTTCATTAAAATATTAGCATACAGATATTGCCTTGTACACTTCTCTGAACTTTTCGTAACTGATTTTTTATTAATACTTTAAATTTAGGTAACCCCATAGAATGTCCTTCCTGTGAGACTAATATGAAATTATGTATCAATAGGTAATGGAGACCAAGAGTATGTTGTACCTTGTGACAGAATATGCCAAAAATGGAGAAATTTTTGGTAAGTTTTTTGCCTTAATTTTTTTTTAATTTGAAAAGGTCACTAATCTATATGGATGGGTTATTTCTTATTCAATTTTCAGCTTATTTAAGAGTTGGGGGCTGAGGTTGTGGCTCAGTGTTAGAGCATAAGTGAAGCACTGGGTTCAAGCCTTAGCACCACATAAAAATAAAATAAAGATATTGTGTCCATCTATAACTTAACATATATATTTGGGGGGGTTAATATGCTTAATTCTCTTATAGTGTTAAAGAGACTGGATCATCAAAAATAAGGAGAAACTTTCAGTCATGTTGCAACGGAGGTTTTCTTTACTTTTATATTCTTTTTTACCTTTCTTTCCATGGGAAAGATTGGACAAAGAATTATTGAGTCATGTTATGGTTTAGGTATTGGGGATATAATGTTGATTTAATCCCTGTCCTTGTGTCACTATAGCTACCAGACCTCAGGGCAAGTCCCTAACCTCCTCTGGGATTTGATTCCTTTATCTTTAATAAGAACAGTATTCAATTAGTTGGTGTCTGTGATCCATTCTACCCTTAAAAATTGAAAGTATTCTATTCTAGCTATCATCTAAAATATCTATTTATTTTTACTTTATGTAACCACAATATTCTGGTGTCTAAATAATTAGTTCAAAAAAAATTTTTTTAAACAGCTTTATTGTGGAATAATTTACATACAATAAATTATGCATACTTAAATTAATATGTACAATTTGAAAAGTTTTGATATCCATACACATGTCTGTGAAACCATCACCACATGAATATATCCATCACTTTCAAGTTTTTTTGTACTTACAATCAACTACTTTCTATTTCTGTTCTATAGATTTGTTTGTGGCTTCTGGAATTTTATATAAATTTGTGATATGTACTGCTTTTTAGTCTGTCTTCTTTTCCTTGGTATAATTGTTTTAAATTCATCCATTTTGTTGTGTATATCAACATAAAATTTCTTTTTCTTCCAAGTAGTCATTTATTATATTAATATACCCCAGTTTGCTTATTCATCCATCTGTTGACACTTGGGTTGGATTCAGTTTGGGGCTATTAGGAGTAAGTTACTATGAGCATTCATAAACAAGTCTTTGATTTACACAGTCCATCTTCAAGAAATATTTACCACATCAAATACAGTATAAAAACCTAAAAATAATATACTTCTATTTTGCCCCACCCGGCCTTTATGTTCTTTAGATATTCATGACAGTAGAGTGTATTTTGACATATTATACATATATGAACTATAACTTATTCTAATTAGAATCCCAGTCTTCTGCTTGTATCTGTTGTAGGGTTTCACTGTGGTGTATTCAAATATGATCATAGGAAAGTTATGTCCGATTCATTCTGTCTTTCCTATTCCTATATCTGCACCCTTCCCTTCATTCCCCTTTGTCTAGTCTACTGAACTTCTCCTCCCATCCCCATTGTGTTATTAGCATTTGCATATCAGAGAGAACATTCGGCCTTTAGTTTTTTGGAGTTGGCACGTTATATTCTTGTTATAATATTTTATTTATGTCTGTTATGCCAAACAATATAGTTTTGTTAGTTTTCCTTTAGCAGGTATCTTTTATAAAAACTTCAATGTTTTTTGTAAACCCCTACATATTTACCTGTGTAGTAACCATTGCCACATTATGTGTATGTATAATTGTATGTATTATGTACATGTATATGATTTATGTGTATGTATGTATTATGTRTATTATGTATGTATTATGTGTATTATGTATGTATTATGTGTATGTATTATGTACATGTATAATTTGATCCTCCTTTGTGTGGATTCATACTTTCATATAGGGTTAGTTTTCTTTTGCTTAATGATTTACTTTAATATTTCCTATAGCATAGGTGATGAAATCTTTTCAGCTTTTATATGCTAAAATAGTCTTTATCTTGTCTTTGTTTTTTGTTGTTGTTGCATTGCTAGAGATTGAACCCAGGGCTTCATAGAGGGTAGCCAAGTGTTCTCTCATGAGCTATGCCCCATCCCTGTCTTTGTTTATGAAAGATATTTCCACTAGGTATAGAATTCAAGATTGACTGTTTTGGTTTTCTTGTCTTTTCTTTTTTAGCATTTTAAATATCTGTTTTACTGTCTTTTCATTAGCATTGTTACTGATAATAAATCTGCTATTGTTCTAAATCCTTTCTATATAATATGGCTTTTTCCCCCCTGTGTCTACTTTTAAGATCTCCCATTTTTACTGGTTATCACATAACAATTTGATTATGATATGCCTTTGTGTGGTTTTCATTATGCTTTTCTTTCTTTTTTTTTTTTTTTGGTGTTCACAGATCTTCTTGGACCTGTGAACAACAGCTAAAAAATGTCTAAATGCCTAAATTGAATTCATTCTGTTGTTTTCCTAACTAATTTTTCTGTCCCATTTCTCTTCTTTCCTCTCCGTCAGAGATTCTAGTCAAACATTTATTAGGTTGTTTGAAATAGACTCACAGCTCACTTGATACTCTTTTTCCGTTAAAAAAAAAAAAAAATTTTTTTTTTTTTTTTTTTTTTGCTCTTTCATTTTAGGTAGCTGCTGTTTCCTATGTCTTCAAGTTCACTGATCTTCTGCAGTGTCTAATCTGCCGTTTTCCCCATCCAGTATATTTTTCATCTCAGATGCTGTATAAGTTTAGAAGGAACTTGAAACTTTTTTACAACTTCCATGTATTTACTTAGCTTTTTGAACATCTTGAATACAGTATAATAATTTTCAGTATCCATGTGTGCTAATTCCAGTATCACTTGTCAGTTCTAGATCAGGACTGGTTGATGTTTCTCCTCAGATATGTTCATGTTTTCCTGCTTCTTTACATACAAGAATGGAGGGATGGGGATTGGGGGAGTGGGTTGCAATATTAAATATAGTGATCAAGGCACACCTCACTAACATTTGAATAAAGATTTAAAAAGCACAGTTCTGTAGCTAGGGGGAGAGGGGGGATTATCCAGAGATAGAAAATAGTAATTCAAAGGCTCTGAGGCAACAGTTGCTTGGTGTGTTCAAGAGATAGCAGGGAGGCTAGTAGGGCTGGAGAGAAGCAAAAGGAAAGAGCAAGAGTGAGCAAGACTAGTAGAAGATGATGTTAGAAAGTAGATCTGAGGCAGGAGTGGGGCAGATTTGGGCCTTTATAAGCCATTTTAAGGACTTTGACTTTTACCTTGCATAAAATTAGGGAACCATTCTCAGCAGGGTTTCAGCAGAGAAGTGAACTGAATCTAATCTAGCATTTTAAAAGTATCACTGGGACACACACTGCTGTGTTGAGAACAGACTATAATGGGAAGGGATAGAAACAGGAAGATCGGGTCAGAGGCTATTGTAGTAGATGATGATAGTTCAGACCAGGTTTGAAGCAGGGTAGTAAGTCACAAGTTGTTGAACTCAGACTATATTTTGAAAGAAAAAATCAGTAAGATGTTTCGACAGATAAAGACCACTTAAGTAGTGAGTAGTGAATATAATTATGGAAGAAGACAAAGCCTCATGTCTGAGGCACTCAAACATTAAAAGGTTGGGAAAAGAGAAGAAACCAGCAAACGGGCCAGACAAGGAAAAAAAGAGAATGTGGTATCCTGGAAACCAAGTGAACTAAGTAATCTCAGGAGGCTGGAGTGAACATTTGTGTCAGTGAGGCTGATAGGTCAAGAATAGTGGGAAAATGACAGTTTACCTTTATATTTAGCAGTTGGTAAGAGCAGTTTTGGTGGAGCAACTGGGTCAAAAGCTTGATTAAAGGGATTTAAAGAAAATGGGAAAAGAACAATGAAGAGATCAAAATAGATGACTCTTCAGAGGAATTCTGCTGCAAAAAGGGAAAAAAGAAATGGGGAAATGGTTGATAAGGACAGTGAGGCGGGGAATGTAGCCCAATGGTAGAGAGGGCTTGCCTGGCGTAGGTGAGGCCCTGGGTTCAATTCCTAGTGCTCATGCACTCACATGCACAAAGTGTGTGTGTGTGTGTGTGTGTGTGTGTGTGTGTGTGTGTGTGTGTTTGATTTTTTTTATCCAAAATAAGTTGAGAAGGACAGTAAGATCAAGCAAAAGAGGTTGTTGGGTTTTTTGCATTTTTTGTTGTTTGTTTGGTTGGTTTTTGCACCAGGGATTGAACCCAGGGACACTTAACCACTGAGCCACTGAGCCATATCCCTAGACCTTTCAATTTTTTGAGACAGTGTCTTGCTAAGTTGCCTAGGGCCTCACTAAGTTGCTGAGACTGGCTTTGAACTTGCAACCCTCATGCCTCAGCCTCCTGAGCCATTGAGATTACAGACATGTACCACCATGCCCAGCAAGAGAAAGATTTTTAAGCCTTTACCTTTGGGGATATTTTTAAAACTTTAAGCTGTAGTTTCATTAAACTAGACATGGCTGTTACATGGTAGGTGTCCTTTTTATAAAAATGGATTGTCTCAGTTCTATGCTTGCTAAGAACTTATCCAAACTCCTGAAACAGATTTGTGTCACATTATTTTATATAAATTGAGGCATAATTTGGAGATTTTAAATATATAAAATTTATTTTTAAATGTCTAAAGTAAATGTTTAATCCAAGTTCTGAGAAAAAAAATCTGAAGAAGATAGGAAAGTTGGACAGTGAATACTAGTTATTTTCCTGGTATAGTTATTTCTTGAGCACTGAGGATAATGAGTAATAAAATTTAATTTTAAAAGATGATGAAGACTTAGGGCTGGAGCTGTGACTTAGTAGTAGTGCACTTGCCTGACATATGAGGCTCTGGGTTTGATTCTCAGCACCACATATAGTAATAAAACAATGGTCTATCAACAACTTAAAAAATATTTTTAAAAATGATGATGAAAACTTTGGATAATCTTCACTATTTTAGAATTAAAGACTCTGAAGAGAATTTAGAGATCATTTAGTCCAATTGATTTTTTATTTTGACTTTGTCATATAGCTTATAGCCCAACCACTCTATTGTCTTTTCTAACAAAAACTATTTCTGTACTT